AGGGGAATGTCCTATGAGAAAGATATTAAGGGAAAATCGGCTGACGGACCACTGGAGGACAGGAGGGTCAGGGGAGACTGATAACGACATATAAAATAACTGCGTGGAATAGGACAAGTGGACAAGGACTGGATGTTCCAGGAGGGGACACGGAAACCAAGAGGCCACAATTGGAGTGAGACACAAATGAGTCTAGAGAGATAGTAGGAAGTATTTCTTCAGTCATAGAGTAGTAAGGCAGTGGAATAGCCTAGAATATGACGTAGTGGAGGCAGGAACCATACACAGTTTTAAGACGAGGTTTGATAAAGCTCATGGAGCGGGGAGAGAGAGGGCCTAGTAGCAACCGGTGAAGAGGCGGGGCCAGGAGCTAGGACTCGACCCCTGCAACCACAAATAGGTGAGTACAAATAGGTGAGTACACGGCTGCCTTACCCCCTTTCATTTTACCTACTGCCTCACGAACTTCCCCCCACACTCACAACTGGCTCTTCCTCACTCCAATTCAATTCAGTTCAATTCAGTTCAATTCAGTTCAATTCAATTCAAAGTTTATTCTCTATAAGGATTACAATGCTGAGTTTACAGAAATTTGGTTATTGTTTGGTTTACATGTAGTAAAATTGTGATTACAGAGTGTACCACTAGAAGCTTAGCATGGCTAGGCATTTCGGATACTTAGTTTTATTCTTAATTGTAAAATAATTACAACATTATGAGGGTAAGTTGGTTTATGGCTAAAGTGACTAAATACTAGTTTGTGAGTTTAGCAATGTGAATGCTTTTGTTTTGGCCACAGTACATAGTTTCAGTATTGGAGTTTCACGGGATTCATTATTTTAAGACCGAGATTAATATTTCTGTTTATGGTCAAATGAGTGGTAGGTATAGTGTGAACCACCAGGTGGTAATTCGTGTAGTTAGTTGACGGGTGTATCAGGGAGATAAGATGTTTTCTATTGGTAGTTTTGAAGGTGATGAAGTGTCTGCAGTTCTAGCGTTCTCAGGTAGGGTATTCCAGATTTTAGGGCCTTTGCAATACATTGATTTTTTGTAAAGGTTTGTCGGACTGGGGGAATGTCGTAGAGATGTTTTGTGTCTGGTGTTATGCCGGGGGGTTCTGTCACAACTATCAAGAAGCGTTTTAGGTCAAGGGTTGATATTAGAGTTTAAGGCCCTGTAGATATAGAGTGCACAGTAGTAAGTGTGGATGTACTGAAATGGAGTAAGTTAGATATATTGAAGAGTGGGGGGTGTGTTGCCAGGGAGGGATTTAGGATTATTCTTACTGCAGCTTTTTGTTGGGTTATTATTGGCTTTAGGTGTGTTGGCTGCAGTTGAACCCCAAGCACAAATAGCATAGGTGAGGTATGGATAATGATTGGTATAGTGTGAGAAGGGCATTTGTGGCACGGTAGTATCGTATCTTGGAGAGGATCCCAACAGTTTTGGATACTTTTTTGGTGTATTGCTGGATATGGGTGCTGAAATTAGGTTGTCAAGGTATAAGGCTAGGAATTTTCCCCCATTAATTTCTGGTAATTAGTGTGGTTGTCAATCTTTAATGTTAATTTGTGCATCTCCTGCTCTGTACCAAAACATAATATAGTAGGTTTTGCCAGTGTTATGAGTAAGTTTATTGGCTGTCCTCAAGTGTTTTTTAATCAGCTCCCTTTTTTTTTTTTTTTTTTTTTTTTTATTCACAATGTTCTGTTTTTTGTGTTGAGGGGTGGCAAGATTAGGGTGAGGATGACATAAGTGTGTCATCAGCAAAGAGAATGGGTTCAGGTGTTGGTGGATACGTTTGGAAGGTCATTGATGTATATGAGGAAGAGCAGGGGACCAAGGACACTTCCCTGCGGAATCCAGTAGCAAGTGGCCGTGTTGCTGATGCTGTGGTCTTTAATGGTGACGTACTGATACCTATTAGTAATGTAAGATTTGAAATAAGCAAGGCGGGCCTCTTATACAGTAGTGTGATTTTCAAGTTTGTGGAGTAGGATGTCGTGGTCTACTGTGTCAAAAGCTTTTTCTTAGGTCAAATAAAAATCCTAGTGATATTCCTTATTTTCCAGTGCTGTGTAAGCAGATCTAGCATTTTTATGATTGCATCTTTAGTGCTTTTATTTTTCCTGAATCAAACTGGCAGGGGTTGAGTATGTTTTGGCCTGTTTTATAAATGAATGATGTTCCTGTGACACGAGTTTCTCAAAGATTGTGGATAGCAATGGTAAGTTAGATTTGGCCTATAGTTGTTTAAGTCTGTAGGGTACACCTATAGGTATTGGTGTAACCCTTGCCATCTTGAGTAGTTTCGGGAAGGTGCTAGTCTCTATTGACTTGTTAAAAAAAGTAATGAAATAGCATGCGAAAGGAATGAGGCCCGCTCGCTTGTTCAGTAAATGGTGGGACATGGAGGACAGATTCCCCTTGGCCTATACACGAAATCACAGCTTCCCCATCTTCGTCAACATTTAAAATTCTCAAAAATTCCCCTCCATCTTCCCAATACCTCTAACTTCCATTTAAAAACTCCCCCACTCCTATTTTTAACTGACAAAATTTCCTTAGAGTTCTCTAGGCTTCCTTAACTTGTAATCTCACTCCAAAACTTTTTCTTATTTTCAACAAAATTTATGATAACATTCACCCACTCTCTCATTTGCTCTTTTACATTGCGTCCCACTCTTAACTCTTTTTCTCCCATTTACTCTTCCCTCCTGGTATTCACTTCTACTTTGTAAGAACTTCTCATATGCTAACATTTTCTCCCTTACAATCATCATTCCATCGTCGCTCCTATTCCCTCCCACACCCACTTTCCTGTATCCACAACTCTGACTGAACACTCTAAACACTAATTTTAAAACCTACCCCCATATCTCTTCGACCCCATTTCTATGCTCTCATTTGCCATCTATCATCATAGCTGTTTATTAAATCTTACCCTAACTGCCTCCCTCTTTTAGTTTTAAACCTTCACCACTCTTCCTGATGCTTCTATTCTCCTTGTATCCCATCTACCTTTTACTCTCAGTGTAGCTACTACTAGAAAGTGATCTGATAATCTGTGGCCCCTCTATAAACATGTACATCCTGAAGTCTACTCGACAGTTTTTTATCTACCAATACATAGTCCAACAAACTACGTCATTTCGCCCTAAATCATATCTTGTATACTTATTTATCCTCTTTTTCTTAAAATTATGTATTACCTAAAACTAAAAAACCCACTTTCTATTAAAAGTTCAATCAAAGGGCTCCATTTTCATTTACACCTGGCCACCCCAAACTTACCTTACCACACCTCTCTAAAAGTTTCTCCTTCTTTAGCATTCAGATCCCCTACCACAATGACCTTCACTTGGTTCAAAGGCTCCTATACATTCACTTAACATCTCCCAAAAAAAAAATAATCTCTCTTCTCCTCTTACATTCTCTCTCTCCAGGTGGCATCACGTTATTATGACCCACTTTTCGCATCCAACTTTACTTTAATCCACATAATTCTGAATTTACACATTCATATTCTCTTTTCTCCTTCCATAAAACTGATCCTTCAAACATTACTGCTACCCCTTCCTTTGCTCTAACTCTCTGATACTCCAGATTTAATTCCCATTTATTTCCCCCACCGTAAACTTCCCCTACCCCCCTTCAGCTTTGTTTTGCTTAGGGCCAGGACATCCAACTTCTTTTCATTCATACATCAGCAATCATCTGTTTCTTGTCATCCGCACTACATCCACGCACATTCAAGCATCCCAGTTTTATAAAGTTTTTCTTCTGTTTTTTAGTAAATGTCTACAGGAGAAGGGGTTACTAGCCCATTGCTCCCTGCATTTTAGTCGCCTCATACGACACGCATGGCTTACGGAGGAAAGATTCTTTTCCACTTCCCCATGGACAATAGAAGAAATAAGGAAGAACAAGAGCTATTTAGAAAAAGGAGAAAAACCTAGATGTATGTATATATATATATGCATGTGCGTGTTCTGTGAAGTGTGACCAAAGTGTAAGTAGGAGTAGCAAGATATCCCTGTTATCTAGCGTGTACAAAGAAAGTGGTTGAATGTACATGTCAAAAGCCCCTTGTATTTAGAGCATTATGGGCAGGCTTAAAATTAACTTAAGATTAACTAAGCAATGATATATTCAGTGTTAAAAATTACAGTAAACAAATTACAACATGAAGTACAAATGAGTATTTTAAACAATGAAATTTGAACATTTCAATTAAGAGGCATTATAATTGTACAAATTTGTAGCATAACAATGTATAATATAACAAAATGATCAATATACTATATCAATATACTATTTGTAGTGCAGAAACAGGTCACATTGTCATTAGACGAGTTAATGCGCATTCAAATGTAGTCAGAAGGTTTATTCTCCTGCGTGAGGGTTTTGTGAATTCTGTCTTTTCAGTCTTAGACTAGCAGCAAGTTCGAGAGGGTTAGGCAGGACGTTCGTGTTCAGCCGCCCTCCTCCTCCGGCCGGAATCGTCATGTTGAGATGACTGTTGAGCGAGGACTAAGGCACATATCTCGCCTGTTTGCAGGTGTTCCTGCTTACTGTGTAGCTTACAGTGTGCACCTGAATGTGGAACTCATTTCCACAATTTGCTCCCATCTTGGACATTTCTGCCTTCACTATGGTTTTTACACTTGGGTCCTTGTAAGAATCTCTGAAAAGTTTAAGGGAATCCTTTGACTAAGTAATTTAACTTGTGTTAGTTATTTTAGCCTATTATGATAGTATTAGTACGGGTTGTCTGTTAGTCTGTCAATTTTATTTTTGTTGTCATTGTGTTGTATTCACATTTATTGCTAAAACTGTTGTAAAAAAAAAATCCGTCATTGCTAACAGCAGTGTGGGGAAAGAAGACACTTGTTTACAGTTCAGGACAGTTTAATTGCCCTGAACTGTACGTTGTCCTTTTTCACAAGTCTGTCGGTATCACCCACCATTAACTAAGAGCAGTATGTTTCCTCCAGTAGTGTCGCGCTGCCAGCAGCCTCCAGTCACTGGGATGTGTCGAGCAATGTATCACATGTGGTATTACGACTCTGCCAACACGACCTGTAGGAGATTCATCTACGGTGGCTGTGGTGGCAACGACAACAACTTCCCGTCGGAGGACCACTGTCGTGCAGCCTGTCCAGGTGAGTACTAAAACACAAAATGGAGCACACACGACAGGGCCGGACTATCCATTGGTCACAAGTTTTAGGTCCCCTCCCCCTAAAAATAATAAGAATAAAATGCTTAGTGAACAGCTGCTAAGAAAGATTACTTAATTTATTTTCATGTGTACCTAATATCTTTCACTCTAGCTTAGATGGGACCTATAATTATTTACAATGCCAGTGTTTATCGAGGGACACGCGAGGTACAGGTGAAGCATGGTTCAGTGGTCATGTTTTTCTTTCATCCTCTAGTTTTATAACATGAAGCTTTATCCGACTGAATCTAATTTTTCAACACAGGTGTACTATTGCCAGGTAAGTTTCATGTCACTGTTTACCTGGAGTTTACCTGGAGAGAGTTTCGGGGGTCAACGCCCCCGCGGCCCGGTCTGTGACCAGGCCTCCTGGTGGATCAGCGCCTGATCAACCAGGCTGTTGCTGCTGGCTGCACGCAAACCAACGTACGAGCCACAGCCCGGTGTTCAGGAACTGACTTTAGGTGCTTGTCCAGTGCCAGCTTGAAGACTGCCAGGGGTCTGTTGGTAATCCCCCTTATGTGTGCTGGGAGGCAGTTGAACAGTCTCGGGCCCCTGACACTTATTGCTTATATTGGTCTCTTACGTGCTAGTGACACCCTGACTTTTCATTGGGGGGATGGTGCATTCGTCTGCCAAGTCTTTTGCTTTCGTAGTGAGTGTTTTTCGTGTGCAAGTTGGTACTAGTCCCTCTAGGATTTTCTCAGGTTTATATATCATGTATCTCTCCCTCCTGCGTTCAAGGGAATACAGGTTTAAACCTCAAGCGTTCCCAGTAATTGAGGTTGTTTTATCTCGTTATGCGCGCCGTGAAAGTTCTCTGTACATTTTATAGGTCGGCATTTTCCACCTGCCTTGAAAGTGCTGTTTAGAGTGCAGGCAATATTCCAGCCTAGATAGAACAAGTGGACTGAAGGTGTCATCAGGGGCTTGGCCTCCCTAGTTTTGATGGTTTCTCAGAATCCATCCTGTCATTTTTCTAGCACAGATGCGATTGATACAATGTTATGGTCCTTGAAGGTGAGATCCTCCGACATAATCACTCCCAGGGCTTTGACGTTGGTGTTTCGCTCTATTTCGTGGCCAGAATTTGTTTTGTACTTCTGATGAAGATTTAATATTCCTAATGTTTTACCATTTCTGAGTAATTGAAATTTCTCATCGTAGAACTTCATATTGTTTTCTGCAGCAACTGAAAGATTTGGTTGATGTCCGCCTGGAGCCTTTGCAGTGTCTGCATGAGAAGACACTGTCATGCAGTTCAGGTGTCATATGCAAAGGAAGACAGGAGCTGTGGCTGACATCCTTGGTCTGTCGGATATGAGGATGAGAACAAGATGTAGCTAGTACTGTGCCTTGTGGAAACAGAGCTTTCACCGTAGCTGCTCGGACTTTACTCTGTTGACGACTATCTCTGGTTTGTTAGTGAGGAATTATAGATACCTTCGACCGACTTTTCCTGTATTCCTTTAGCGCGCATTTTGTGCGCTATTACGCCATGGGTCACACTTGTCGAAGGCTTTTGCAAAGTCTGTATATATTACATCTGCATTCTTTTTGTCTCTAGTGCATTTAGGGACCTTGTCGTAGTGATCCCAGTAGCTGAGACAGACAGGAGCGACGTTTAAACCCATGTTGCCTGGGTTGTGTAACTGTGGGTGTCTAGATGGGGTGGTGATCTTGCTTCTTAGGACCCTTTCAAAGATTTTTATGTTTGGCCATGTTAGTGCTAATGGTCTGTAGTTCTTTGCTGTTGCTTTACTGCCCCTTTGTGGAGTGAGGGCTATTGTCTGTTGTTTTTAGTAACTGAGGGACGACCCCGTGTCAATGCCTCCTCTCCCATAGATGGAAATGGCTCGTGATAGGGGCTTCTTGCAGTTCTTGATGAACACAGAGTTCCATGAGTCTGGCCCTTGGGGGCAGAGGTGCATGGGCATGTCATTTATCGCCTGTTCGAAGTCATTTGGCGTCAGGATAACATCGGATAGGCTGTGTTAATCAAAATTTTGTGGGCTTCTTAAAAAAATCATTTTGATCTTGACTCTGTCTGGTTAGCGGCTTGCTTAAGAACTGAGTCATATTGGGACTTGAGTAGCTCATCATTCCTTGCTGTCATCTGTGTTAGGAAACCCATCCTTGTTTAAGTGGGGGCCCAATACTGGGCGTTGTCTCGATTTTGATTTGGCATAGGAGAAGAAATACTTTGGGTTTTCTTTAGATTTCATTTATAGCCTTTTAGTTCTTCCCGCGATTCCTGACTTTTAAAAGGATTCTTTTAGCTTAAGTCGATGTTTGCTATTTTCTGAACCAGTGTCTCCCTGAGCATTTCAGATATATTGAACCTCTTTTAAGCCGCTCGGTTATTCTTTTCCGTCGCCTGTAAAGGAGCGCCTGTCTCTTTCTATTTTTACATCTACTCCTCCTTTTTCTTAAGAGGAATAAGCCTCTGTGCATACAATCGAGTGCCACCGAGTTAATCTGTTCTAGGCATAAAGTTTGGGTCTGTGTTGCTTAGGTATTTCTTCCCAGCTTATATCGTTAGGACTTGGTTTACTTGGTCCACTTTGTTTTTGTTATTGAAGTTGAATTTGGTGAATGCTCCCTGTGACTAGTCTCATTTTGTCGTCTGGGTCCTCGCATACATGTCTGAACCTCAATTATGTTGTGATCTGAGTATATTGTGTTTTGTTTATGGTGCACATTTCTTATCAGTCATCATTTGTTAGTGAATATGAGGGTCTAGTGTATTCTCCTGTCTAGTTAGCTCTATTATTTGCTGGTTTAAATTGAATTTTGTGCAGAGATTTAAAAGCTCGGTGAGTGTGAGTTTTTCACAGTGCTGCCTCCTGGTGTTTTTACTGCAACTTATTATTTGCTAATTACTCCATTTTAGGTGCCTTAAGTTGAAATCCCCGGAGCAAGATGTTGGGTGCTAGGAGCTGAAGATTTGTCCAGACAGTGGTCAATTTTAACAGGTGTTCCTGGAATTGCTGGGATGTTGCATCCGGAGGCTTGTAGACTACCACAATGACTAGGTTTTGGTTCTCTGACTTTATGACTAAAATTCCACTACGTCATTGAGGCATTAAGCAGTTCAGTGCAAACAAGTGACTCTGCAATGTACAGGCCAACCCCCCCTTTTGCTGTTTCACTCTCACATCTGTATAGGTTGTAAAACTGGGATCCATATTTTCATTGTCAAGTGTCCTTTATGTGGGTCTCAGTGAAGCCGCGAACATTGCCTTTGCTCTGCATGCAGTCCCGGATGAAAGGTATTTTGTTGTTGCTGCACCTTTAGACCCTGTAAATTTGCAAAGAAGAATGTTATCGGACTGTGGTATGTTGGTACTGGGAGGCAGGATTTTTTTTCCGGCATTAGTATCTGTATCTGTTGGTTTGGAGTGGAGGCCAATGACTGTGTTCCACTCCAGGAATGGTACTGGATTTGGTGTACGATTTTGCCATTTCCTTGCAGTTTTTTTTCTTCTGGCACATAAAAAAAACCTCTCCTCCTCTTGAGTGGCTGTGGCTACCCAGGTTTTCCCATGGCCTGGATGTTTTTGTATCTTTTGTCACCCTTTAGATGTATGCCTGGCAATTTAAGTTATGCACTGTCTTTCCTGTTACTGGGAGGTACACATTTCAGGGTGAAAAGCTTCAGGAAGGGAGTTTGCATTTTCCTGTGGTCAGTGGGCTGGCATTTTAAGGGTGGCATGTGCCGTTCCCATCTGTTTTTCCCAGATTTCCCATGCCAGCAGATACCAAGGCATAGTATGTGCACAGGCTTGGTTTGCGCTTGCCTTGGGTTTCTGTGACTGTATTTCCCTGTTGGTGCATGTTTCCCTGTCTTACTTCTATCCTCCTAAGCACCAACAATGGAGCTCCCACCAGTTGTTTTTGGTAATTTATCCTCACTATGCTATTGGAGTCCTCTGTTTGCATTTTCCTGCGGTATTTTAGTTTGCAATATTGTTTTATCTTATTCTTTGACTACACTTGTTTCCCTACTATGGCTCCTATCCCCTATGAGGTCATTTTATATGTATTACTTCCTGGCGTATAATTCACCGACTACCTGGACAAAATCTCCAAGCTTCACCATTTCCTGTCTCCAGGACAGTATTCTCAGCTTCACCATTTCTGTCTCAGAGACAGCACCTCAGCTTCACCATTACTGTCTCCCAGGACAGCACCTCCAGCTTCACCATTACTGTCTCCCAGGACAGCACCTCCAGCTTTACTTTACTGTTCTCCAGGACATCAACTCCAGCTTACAGTTTGGACTAACATGGCCGTATCAAGGGCAGTACCATTCAGCCCGACTTTTTTATGTTCCTCTGTTGTAGAAAGCTCCAGGTTTTCTATGAAAGCAGCTTTGAGTTGTCCTCTTTTAATCCCTTGTGATTTTAGTCCAAGATTTTCCTCATTTGGGCATACCCAGAAACCTTCTCTGTTTTAATACTGCTTGCTAGCTAGTCCGGGATATCTGCACAAGGGGCGTGGACACCAATTTCACAAAAAATGACAATTTATCCATGTGGAGGCCCGTTCTTGATTTGCTGACCACGGTGGACTATGGGTATTATCTGCACCTTTACTCTGATTCTGTTAGTCCAGCCTCAACTTAGGATGTTTTTTGGTCATGTTCTGTAGTGATGAAGATGTATCTTCCCTGTGGGGCTGTTTCCTAACTCGTTTTTCAATCCCTCACAAAGCACTGGTGGATTTTTTTGGGCATAGGCATAATTTTCTTAGCCGATTAAAGAAGGTTTTGCTTGTTTTGGTAAGGCACTCATGGAGTAAAACATAAGTTTTTCATAGAATAGATGTTTTTAGTTGGTTTTTTCTTTGTAAGGGGGGGGGGGGGGCTAGGTTGGAATTTTAACAGCACTGTTTTTTACCTGCTTGGTAGCCCATCAGTTTGCAATCCTTTAGGTCGTT